AGATCTCCAACAAAATACAGAAGATAGCAGAGAAGAGTTGAATAAAGCTCATGCAGAATATGTGAAATGGATGGGAATATAGGAAACTTTGCTCAAACAAAAACCTCAGGTGAAGTGGTTTCAGGAAGGGGACTATAACAGTAGATATTTTCACAGTGTTCTAACAGATAAAAGAAGAAGATTGCACTTGCACAGAATCAAGAACCATAGAAACATGTGGGTTCAGGGAGACGATAGGATTAACAAAGCTGCTGTGAGACACCTTGAAAAACTTTTCAATCTTCAGGTCACAATTACGGATCATTCACATCTACATTGCATTCCTAGAATTATTTCTGTAGAAGATAATGAGCTATTAACATCTATTACTAGTATCATTGAAGTTAGAGAAGCAATTTTTAAGCTTAATGCTAACAGTGTTGCCGGCCCTGATCGTTTTAATGGGGTATTTTTAAAAAAATATTGGGAGATCATCAAGGAGGATATAATGGACTTTGTTCACGAGTTCTTCCATGGCAAGAATTTAACCAAGTTTTATTCTCATACATGGTTGGTACTTATACCCAAAGTAGAATCTCCTTCAAACTTTTCGGAAATAAGGCCTATCAGTCTAAAAAGTTTTACGACTAAGATCATTTCAAAGATCTTGGCTGAAAGGTTAAACCGTATTCTGTCTAATTTGATATATGACAATCAAAGTGACTTTGTGAAGGGTAGATTAATTACTAAAAATGTGATGTTAGCTCAAGAAATTATTCAGGAAATTGACAAAGAGAACAGAGGAGGCAATATCGTCATTAAACTTGACATGGAAAAAGCTTATGATAGAATGTCTTGGTATTTTATATCTTCAGTTCTCAGAAAATTTGGTTTCGATGATGTATGGGTTGATATCATATGGAGATTAATATCTGATGTCTGGCACTCTATTATTAATAATGACATTAGAGGGGGGGGGGGGTTTCTTTACTTCATCTCAGGGACTCAAGCAAGGAGACCCTTTGTCACCATCCTTATTTAGTATTGCTGCTGAAGTTTATCTAGGTCACTAAACGGACTACACTCAAATCCTGAATTCACTCCATTTCAGATGAACAAGAGAGGACCTCAAGTTAATCACCTGGCATATGCTGATGATATTGTAATTTTTAGCATGTGCACAACAAGTCAGTGAGATTAGTCATGCAACAGATCACCAGGTATGAGAATGTATCTGGGCAAAAGGTCAACAAAGGCAAAAGTTTCTTTCTCACTAACCCTAAAGCAAGAGCACACAGAATAAACAGAATGAGAGAAGTCACGAGTTTCATGGAGAAGAACTTTCCCTTTAATTATCTCGGTTGCTCACTATATGTTGGAAGGAAGAAACTCTCACATTTTGATAACATGGTTACCAAAATAACTAAAAGACTGCATGGATGGCAAGGAAGGATGCTTATTTGTGGGGGAAAAATGGTCCTCATTAAAAGTGTTCTTCAATTTCTCCCTATTTACAGTCTATCTGCTATGAGTCCTCCTAAAGGTACACTCAAATCGATAGAAAATTTTTTTGCAAAGTTTTTTTGGGGAACTTCAGAGGATAAATTAAATTACCATTGGAGTGCATGGAAGAACTTATGCCTTCCAAAATATGAAGGTGGTGTTGGCATAAGATCGATGGAGAATATTTGCAATACTCTTGTAATGAAAAGATGGTGGAGGTTCAGAACTCACAATTCATTATGGGCTTATTTTATGAGAGCTAAGTACTGCATCAGAGCAAACTCTGTAGATAAAATATAGTCATCTGGGGATTCACATGCTTGGAAACATATAACACTGATGAGAGATGAAGTGGAGAAGAACCTGATATGGAAAATTAATAAGGGTAACAGTAGCTTCTGGTGGGATAACTGGATAGAAAAAGGCGCACTTGCAAAGTTATTTCCTACAATGGGAATGAGCAAGAAAATTACAGTGAAGGAATTCATTATGAATAATCGATGGAACCTTGATAAGTTGAAAAATTTACTCAATGATCAAGCTATTCAACTTATCACAGATATTGATATTGGAGATCAAAATAAAGAGGACTATGCCATATGGAATGCATCTGCAGATGGTCAGTACTCCAACAAGAATGCCTGGCAGCTTATTAGGAGCAGGAAGCAGAAACATGAAGCTTTAAACAATATGTGGCATAATTTTATTCCTTTCAAACTTTCTTTCTTGGCCTGAAGACAATATTTTGGCAAGCTACCTTTTGATAAAGTTCTAACAAAATTTCGGAACCATATTGTTTCTGGATGTAAATGTGTAACAATCCAGTTGTGGACTCTATGCAACATACTTTTATAGAAGGCGAGGCTGCTACATACTTGTGGAAGTTCTTCGGAGCTCCATTGGGCATTAGACATGATAGATGGCCTGCCAGAAGAATTTTCAAAAATTAGTGGGATGTAAAGCCAAGCAACAATGTGCATAAACTCATCCTCTATATTGTACCAATAGCAATATGTTGGGAAACATGGAAGAATTGGAGCTCATATAGATATGGTGAACAGAAAATGTTCTTTATCAGAAGATGGAGTATCAGGTTAGCTGGACTATTCAAGCAGCTATATCAATGGCTTTCCCCAGTTGTGCAATTACTTGTCCTCGGACATCCTTCTGTGAAAAACTAGAAACATGGAGACCTATAGCTACTTGGAAGCAAGTCATATTGGAGAATCCACCTACTGGTAGAGTAAAAATAAACACTAATGGGAGCTTTAGAAAAGAATCGGGGAAAGCAGGCCTTGGAGGCAATGTGAGAGATGATAAAGGTGACTTGATTATGGCCTTCTCTTTAACTATTAGAGGTAGCTCTAACAATTGTACAGAGGCCATGGCTACCAGGTGAGGTTTACAATGGTGCTTGCAATAGGGGTATAATGACCTCTATCTAGAGATAGACTCTCAGATAGTGGCCAATATTCTCATAGCTAAGAAGACCAACAACCTGAAGCTACAAAGGATTGTTGAAGATATGATACAGATGATGAATCAAATAGAGGTCAACATAGCTCATTGCTACAGGGAAGCCAATCAAGTGAAAGATATGCTAGCCAAAAAATGCAGTTACAACTGGTAATAACTCCTATTTTCAATTAGACAAGTGGCAGCTGCCTAGGTTTAGAATTAGGTATGACAAAGCGAATTTCTTTGTTTGTTGAAACTTTTGATTGACGATCGTGAGAGGTAGGGTGTATAGTAGTTATCCTCTCATGAAAGATGTATAGGAGGTGAGGTGTCCCCCTCCATTGTATGTAAACTATTTTTTGCATCTATAGACATGGTAGGGGTCTTGTCAAACCCCCCAATACCACATGTGATAATAGCCTGGGTGATTGGCTTAATTAAAACAAAGAGATTAGATGCATTGGACAAGATGATAAGACTCTAAAACTAGTGATTCTCATCCTCAATTTGTCTTTTATAAAATAAAATAATCCACTTCAAAAAGCTATCCTTCCTCAAAAACTATGAGTTTGATCAAACTTCATAATTTTAGTCCACCTTTTATATTTGTCTAAAAAAAATTTATTTATAATATAAAAATTATTAATTTAGTACCAAATAACTTAAAATAACTAGAATTTTAAATTCATAAATTTTAAACCTTGGATTCGCCTCTACTATTCTCGTCTTTTCTGTTTCTTAGATTTGTAGTTTCCTGGTATTGCTTTTGCCACGTTTTTATTCTTAACGTGTTGTTACTGTTCCTTTTTCTTTCTTTATTACTGCATTTCCCCTTCTTAACTGTTGTGCTTATGCTTGCCTGAGCCGATGGTCTATCGGAAGCATCCTCTAAGGTAGGGATAAGGTCTGCGTACACACTATCCTCCCAGACTGTACTTCCTCCCCAGAATCTACTTGTAAATATACATTATTCACTACAAAAAAATAGCCTATTTGCGGAGGGTATTTTCACGTTTTGCAGCGGTCAGCGATCCCCGTTATTTGATATCGTGGCGGTCTTCAAAACCCAGCTGTAAGGTTTGCCGCAATCATTTTGTGGCAGTTTTTTACAGCCCGCCGTAACCATTTAACGGAGGTTATTTTTCGGCGGTTTAAACCCCACAAATTAAAATTTTAATCAATGCGGATCTTGTAAAAAATATTCAACGGGGGATGAAACCGCCGCAAAATAATCATGTTGCGGCGGTTTCAACCTCCGCGATATATTTTCGAAATATGAGAAATTCTATTTTCGCGGCAGCTTTAACCCCCTCTATTTGTTTATTTAATGGCAGTTGTAACCTCCCCTATCCCATGAAGACCTTTTTTTTTGGTGGGGCAATTGTGGGGATACCTGTTTTTCTAATATAATATTTTAATGATATTAAATAAATTTTAAGAGGCATTAACATAATACTAAAGATGCATAAATGTTAAGTAACATCCGCATATTATAGAATCATAAGCAGATAGTATTGTCATTAATCTCAAAAGCTAAACTTAAACACAAAATATCTAGTTCAACCATTCAAGTAAAGTATCATACTTATTTATCTATTACATTTGCAAACAAATTCAATGATTTTCATTAAGATTATTATCACCAGATGATCCTCTTACGCCCATAGGTGAAATGGATCCGCTAGCTGCATCACTTGGCTGCAAAGAAATAAAAAGCATTTAAAGTTTTTTTTCTTTAGTTTTTCAAATTAAAAAACTACATATAGCTAGATTTTATTTACCGCGGCCGGAGCAGGAGAAACAAAAATCCCAACAAACTGTTCAGGTATTGTCCCTTCTTTCATAATCATATATGTCTTGAAAGCATTCATCATTTGATGGTGTGCAGTCATCATTTGAGCATAGTTCTCTTGGCTTTAATAGTGAGCATTTACAATTTGATTGTACTTCTATTCGCATTTGGACGAACATGAACCATTATCACAACTGGAAGAATTTATACCTCCAAAACGACATCTTGTTTGTCTAAAAATTTTACTCGGGATAGCTCCTAACCCCAAGCACCTTACCCTTCCAGAATGCTCTTTTCCTAGCACCTTACCAACGACATCATTTGGTGAAACTTCAGACTCATCTGTGGCGCTTTGACTTACAACTAGCTCAATTTTTTCCTGAATATAATATACACAAAATTCATTGTCATAACTTCAATTAGTAATTGACAACATAAGGATAATGTATATTCTCTAGTCACTTTGAAAACAAAATATTGCAACTCATATTCTGTAATAGGACATTAGCAATCACTTTGAAAACAAATTTATTACACTGAGCATGGGGTTTCTTAATATAAACACAATGCAGTGGTTACTCTAAACACACTAAACCCGGTATCCCCAATAAAGTAGTGAAGCAAAGGCCAGTTCAGTAAGCAATCATGCTTTAAATATATTCTCTGATACAAAAACACAGAGAGGAAGGAATGTACAAAAATTTTGACAGATTCCTGCACAAGATCAGCATCCATATCAGGCAAGTTACAAAGAGAAATTGTCTATTCTAACTCTTGTTTGAGGAGGTAATGGTCCCATGAAGTGTTACAGAAAAAATAGCTCTTTTCACCCCAAGGTCCCAACACCATGTTATTCAGAATTTTGTCTTATATGGCATAGAATTCTGTCCCATCGATGTGTCTACTGCAGCAAGACCTGTCTGGAGTATCTGTTGCAATATCTTACATTGCCCATCTTGTCATTTATGTTGGAATTTTAGGTAACCTCTCAGGCAATTAATGTCTCAAGATAATTACCATTATGTTATATGAAAAGTTAATAAGATCAAGAATTTGACTAGTAGTTAAAATGTTGGCCTTACCTAATAATGTGTGGCAGGAATAGCCATAATAATCATTTGCTTTATACTGAAATCTTTGGGAGCTTGTGATGATGAGAGCTGTGTAGAAGAAATACCAGTAACAAGAGAAATAACCGAGACCGAGCCAATGTTGCAACATAAGGAATTAGGACCAACTTATGGAACATATGAAGAAGAGTCAAATTCTAGAAAATCAAGCACTTCAGAGGATTTATATGATGGGAGAATGTGTTATTTGCTATGAAAATACAAGAAACTGCTTCTTTGTTCCTTGTGGTCATTGTGCAACTTGTCAAGAATGTGCTCAGAGGTAAATTATTCTTTTCACAGAGTCTCAATTACTTTTCACAGAAGGAATAAAGTAATGAAGATTCTCATACGAGCAATTTCCTACAGGATCATGGATGTTGAAAGTAAGATGTGACCGGTGTGCAGAAAGCCAATTCATAAAGTTAGAAAGTTGATCAGACTTATCAATTTACAAAAAGATAAGCTAATACTATATATTTTCATAATTTTAGTTTATGTCACATTACATCAGAATCTGTACATCATTTCCTCAGGTAATCGTCCGTTCATTTTAACTACCAGTGGCATAGTTGCTCTGAAGTGTCTGTTAGGATGAAGCTTTTAACAAATAGAAACTTACACATATTTCTCTTGCTGCTTCATTAACATATGACCCATCTTCCTTCTTATGAGTAGCAAGATAGAGTTGCGCTCGTCCAGGGTTTTGTCCAGATTCAGCCATCTATAAATGAAAAATCAAGTCAGAATAACTTGACTAAATAGGAACAGTTTGCAAGTTTAATTAAAGTAAAACATATTGAATTAACATTTATCACCATTTCAGCTCTTCTTCTAGAGTTTGGTTTGGAACCACCAGTGTGCAACAATTTGTTTCTTCCGAATTTAAGCATTTCTTTTACTCATTTCCTTATAAAAATACACATAACTCAAATATACAAATAAAAAAGTATATAATTGAACATACTAATTGAAGCACGCAAATAAATACCATTGTCTTTTCATTAAAACGGTAAGCAACATAAGAAGTCCATTGATCCCGTGGAATTCCTGATGGAACATTATCCATAATTTCTGCTTTGGTCTTAAGTGGGTCATTGAACTCATACCACAACCTTTGCCTTCCTGAACTCCACTTCTTTCCAATAGAACTATAAACATATGCTCGTGCATTTAACTCAGTTGTCTTAAAACAGAATCGTGGCTACAGGAATAAAACTTCTGTTAGCTAATTTATTACATACAAATATACAGTCTAACGACATAAAACGGAGTTACAACAATAAGAAAATAGAGCTTATATCTTTATAATTCGACCAAAGCAACCATTGAAGTATGACTTAGGTAAATCTGGCCATTTGTTGAAGTGAATTGGAAATAAGGAGCAGTCGGTTGCTAAAATTCCACAAAAGCCTGCAAGAACACCTTGCCCTTCTCCAATTGGCTGATCCATATCATCAAATTCAACCACAATACATTTTCCGTCGGATAAATACATCATATCCTTAACCTTTACTTTGAGTTTCTTGGTAGCTCCTTGCGAATCTTTAAAAATAAACATCAAGTTAAAAGATCGAACTAACTTTTGTACATCAAATTCTGCATAAACTTCAGCTTATACTATTCTAAGAATTCAACATGAAACATCAAAATGCAGATTAAGTTGAATATAATTATAACTAAACAATAGATTCCAATTATCATATAATCAGCTATTCAACAAGAGATCATCCGATCTTCAACAGATCGAAAATCAACATATGAAAATTAATGGTATAAGCATATGAAAATTGAAAAGCTAATCAGTTAATCGCTCTATGTGTGGCCTGAACCGAATGAGCCGGTTGTGCTGCAACCCGAACTGATGGGGCCGGCTGTGATGTGGCCTGAACCGAATGAGCTGGCTGAACTGACTTTTGCAAGTTCTGGTAACGCTTGGCCCTTGGCATATCTGGAATCAATAAAATACAATCAGCATGTTAGTTGCTCTATAGAGAGTACCTAATTAACAGAATCATATAGAATTAGTGCTACGACGAAACAATCAAATAATCTAATTACTTGCAATCTAGATCACACCTTGCAACTTCAATTCAAGAAATGATTAGGAGAGTGAGTGAGCAGTTTACTGCTATGTTTAGGAGAAAGGCTTTCTGTAGAGCAAGATGCAAGAGTTGAAGAAAATAGTGATTATGAAAATGAAGCTGCAGAAGATCAAGAAACAGAGACAGAGGCAATATTGAATAGTGACACTTGAATAAATCAAGATAAGAATTACCTATTGCATCAACTGTCCAATGTTGCGGACACTCACGTCCAGGATGCTTTTTGGATTGTGTCGGCTGTGATGCTGCCTGTACTGATGGATCCAATTGTGATGTGGCCTGAACCGAATGAGCTGGCTGTGCTGCAGCCCGAACTGACGGGGTCGGCTGTGATGTGGCCCTAACTGATGCAGTCTGATGTGCTGCGGCCTGGACTGAAGGTGTCGGTTGAAAAAATGATACCAACTACGGCGTATCATCAAGATGTGAAGGTGTTGACTCAGTTGTTGATAAAGGTTGTGCTACACCTTGTGAAGTAGATGCTGGTTGAACTGACTTTTGCAAGTTTTGGTAACGCTTGGCCCTTGGCATATCTGGAATCAATAAAATAAATTAACTATGAACATGAGGGAAGTTTAGTCTTTATACTAAATTTAAGGCATAAAGCTAACCAACTATTGGATATCTCCTGGCCAGGGTCTAAAGAGTAGTCACAAACCAACAACAGAGACAGTCAAACAACTTTTGCAAGGAGGAAAAAATAATTAAGTAGAACCTCACAAGCCACAGATTTCATAATTGAGAGACATGTTTGAAAAAAGAGCTTAAATGCACTGTCTAGTTGAACATCCACAAGCATAATTAATTCACTTCACAGAAGTCATTTCAATCACCAAGTTTTGGTAACGCTACGACGAAACAATCAAATAATCTAATTACTTGCAATCTCGATCACACCTTGCAATAGTTTCTATACTATAATGCTTTAAACTTGAAGAAACTATAATTCCTAGTCAGACATATGCTCCTCTATTGCAACTTGGATATTCTCATAATTAATATCAAAAAATTGTTCCAATTCTTGTTGTTGGTATGGCTCATTCTCGTAAATTTCTTCTTCATCAACATTTCCCATGTCAAACAAATCTCTTGCCTTTAGATGCACAGCAACACTCCATTCTTTATCAGTTTCATCATCAACATAGTAGACCATATTTGCTTGAGACGCTTCAATATAAGGATCATGGTCCTCGCGATCACAAATTTACTTGTCACTAAATCATGATGTCAGTCGGTATTAATGGAATCGGTTCCACCAAAACCATAAAGATGATGCAGTCCAAATTATGACTTAAGTTTTGAAGCCTTGGTATCATTTCAATCTGAAAATGTACCAGATAAGACTTCTAAGTTTGAATCTTTAAAGGATAATTTAAGATGCAAACTACTTCATTTGCTAAGCATATGTATCAGAAAACCATTTTGCTTTTTATTTTTGATGAAGAATAATACTCATGTTCTGTTCTTCTCCTATTCTCTACAGGTTAGCCATCCTAACTTCGTGTCAACATACGCTACACAATAAATTTATGTTTCTATTAGGAAAATACCAATGCAATCAACATGATATAAAGTAGCACACTCACAAAACTACACCTAGACATGCATGGTAAGTTTCTGCATTCCCCTTAAGCACGTCTGTAAGCTGATGCCTTTTGAGCTCACTTTAATCGTTTACATTTTGGAGTAGTCTACGGAGATAAATGGATCAAATTGAGGAATTAAATAGTCACAAGCCAGAACACTACCATATATATCAAAGAGATATATTCTTTTGCTAACATTTTACAAAATTTCTTGAACAAAAAGTAGTAATACTACAGTATGAGAAATAAACTACCATGTCTAGGGAAATCTAAACTCGTACGAAAAGTTAGCAGAAAATTCCATATACAAGTAATACATTTACTCATCGACTTTGAAGAGATTGCTCGAGCACCAACCTCAAACGACGCGCTAATAAAATCATAAAAAGGAGCAGAGAGAACCTAAATCAAATCACATGCAAAAATTATTGAAATTGGAGCAGAGAAACCTAAATCAAATAACATGCAGAAACTACTGAAATTCAGATATTAGGAAAACATACTCAAAACCCTAGAGGAATTAAAATCGGATACAAACAGATTAGGAAGGAGAGGGCAGAGAGCTGCAATTCGAGTTGTACCTTTTGTCAGGAGATTCAGCGACAAACACGCTTCAATTCGAGTTGTAATTGCTGAAATTCACATTAAAATCGCACAAATATCAAACTTAGAGGAATTAAAATCGGATATCAACTATTTTCGCAATGCAGAGACTGATTTCGCACAACTATTTTCGCAATGCACAAATATTTCGCACAAAAATTTTCGCAATCGGATATCACATTAAATCGCAACTTAGAGTGAACCCTAAATCGTTAGAGTGAAAGACAATGGGAGATTAAAGAGAGAAAGAGAACTTGCCATTTCAGGAGGAGAAAGCGAACCCTAAATCGTTAGAGTGAAGAGCATGCACTGTGATGTGGGCGGTGGGCGGAAACTTTTACCTTTCAATTTCTATGTGGGCGGAAATTTCTGGAAGAAAAGAGGGAAAGATTTCGTTCAGGGCTTGTCTGTGCCAGAAAAGTAAAAAGAAAGAACGGAAATTGAATTTTAGTGCAGAAAAGTAAAAAGAAAGAACTGTGCGTTTGATTGCTTGACAGCAATTGTTTTGAGATTTGCACCACCAAAATTTTAATTTAAGTCTAGGGGAGGTTTCAAACGCCGCAAATTGAATTTTAGTGCAGAGGTCAATAAGACCCCCTAAATTAGATACAATTTTTGGAGGTTAATTATAACCCCGTAATACAACCGCCGCAAATAGACTGTTTTTTTAGTGAAAGAATGAGAGAAAAATGCCTAAGTACCGTATTAAATGAAGTGCACTGTCTCCAGCGATTTCGCACCAGCGGGGACTTGGCCGCACCTGCGGTCCCGCTTTTGCGGACCAAGTGTCCCCTTCTACGGAATTGGCTAGGCCAGCTGGGGCCGTATCTGCGGATGGGCTCCCGCTTCTAAACCCTCAAAATTTTCCCTTTTCTGTCCAGCGATCTCGCACCTGCGGGCCAAGGATCGCACCTACGACGTTGCACCTGCGGAATTTCAATCACAGGTGCGAAAATGACTTAAGTTTCTTGGGTCCGCATCAGCGGAAAGAGGACTGCACCTGCGGATGCGATCCTGCGGACCCTTGTCCACTTCTGCGGTCCCTGACCGCACCTACGTTCTTTCACTTTAATTTGTTTACAGACATATGCGTCTGTAAACTAAAATCTCATTTTTCAAAACCTTGATATCGGGTCCCTAAACAATGGCCGTTCATAATTTTTTACTTTGGATATTATAGGATCGTTTAATCAAGAAGAGGTATCCCTAAATAAATTACCAACTCATTTAATACAATATATCTATGTTATGCCTATATTATCCAAATATTTACGACTTAGGTATAAAAGTAAATACAAATTTATACCTCTCTTGGAGTACTAATAAGGTTCATCTAAGAATTTCAGACCTTTTCCCCTGTATTTTCGCCTGCCATAGCCCAAGTCCGACGCCGTGGGACGAAGCCTGAATCGGATCTCCTAATATTTATCCGGAACATCAAATACGATCTAAGGAACCATAATCACCACCCCGCCATGACCAAATTATATTTTTTGGCATTTTAACACGGTTTTCTTATCCAATGATATACAACTTTTATATGTCCACTATTTAAAAAAAACAGATTTACATAGCTAACCCTCTATAATTCCGTTTAGTCCAAATTAGATTTCTTGTATTCCGGGAGATATGGAACTATAATCAAACATCTCCAATATGCTTGGCCTTGGAGTATCCAACTATCCAATTCATTAGATAGTTTTGAATCCCCCTCTATCCAGAGGTAGGCCTTGACCTACACTGTTTCCTCAATGTAGAACTTCAAATCCATTCTTAGTTGGCACAGAACACAGTACGAGAAAGTTTTGAAGGTTGAACTTTGGGCTTGTTGCTATAATTTTCCCTCTACTCTTTTCTATTTTCTCTTCTACTCTACCAACAGGAGTAACACTTTTCTCTTCATTTAGTTGTTGACTTTGCTGCTCGTCCTCCTTAAGTGGTTTTACTTGCTCTCCATCCGTTAAAGTTGTTTGCACAGGACCTTTGCATCTCCATTCTTGTGTAACAACTTTATTACTCCTTTTTATTTTATGTTGTGCATCTTGCTGATTATCCCCTTTCCCCTTTTCACGACATCCATGGCCAACTACTTGACATACTCTATAGTATTCAGGCTTCCAGTCATATGTCACAGTTTATTGAAAATACTTCCCTTTTGAATCAATCGCTGTAATTTCATCAGGGAGTGGACGATCGATATTTATTTCCACCAACATTCTCGCGAAGGATATCCTTGTTTGCTTTGTGGTACACTCATCTGCAAACATAGGAGTCCCTAACGCACTTGCTATCCTACTCAAGGATTTGCTACCCAAGCAATTCATAGGCAAACTAGGGAATTTGACCCATAATGGAATCTCAGTAGGAAATTCTTTGCTGAAATCGAAATCCGCTGTCCAAGGCTTCAAAATTATAGGGAGATTACTGATGGTGTATGGTCCAACATAATAAACAACATGCATATCAGTTATTGAATTGAATTGGACCACATAATATCCCTCATCATGTAAATACAGTTCTAGAGTATCTATATTCAACCAATTTTGGCTAATATACCTGCTCATAGCGTTGTATCCAGGTGTTTCTCCCACTACTAGAAAATAGGCCTTTAGCGAGAGGAAATTTGATCGTTAAAAGACCAGATCCGGTCGCTATAAGTCAATAACGACCGATAAAATTCGATCGTCACTGGTCGTTAAAAGCTCCGACGTTAAAAGTTAACGACCGATTTTCAACCCAGTCGTTAAAGACCCTTTAGCGACGGCATTATTTCCAGTCGTTATACATCACTTTTAGCAACAAGATTTTTCGCTCGTTAATGTGTTATCCAGTCGTCAAAAGTCTTCAATGCCAACAACTAATGTGGTCCTTACTAGTGCTTTCAGCGACCGAAAGTCCCTTCGTTAATTGTATAATTATATTTAACAGCCAAATTTTCCATCGCTAATGCCTAATAAACTATTTGAGAAACGTGTTATTCAATAGTTACTATGACCACATTCCCTTCGCTACTGGAAAATTTTAATAAATACAATTACAAAATATATATATTCCACTAATAGTAATACTTATTTTATATACTTTCATACACACACCAGACATATTTGAAAATGTACCAAATGATTGATATTTTGTTAATACAAAGATCTAAGCATCACATTACCAGAAAGAAATTCAAATAGTATAACATCTTCACATTACCAGAAAGAAATCCAAAATTTTAACAATTCCTAAAAAGAGAAAAAATAAAATTACAGCATATGTGCATAAGACAGTGCCTTCAAACCATCCCTAACATAATATAAGTCTCTTGTTCTTCAACTTGATGTGCACTTTCTTCAACAATAGGTTCTTCAGACTTCCAAGTTTTTGATATGTTGAAGTAAAAAGTTTATGTCAGTTTGTAACAAAGAATAAACAATTAAAGAAAAAAATTAAATTTATCAAAGACTACACTGATCTCCCTAGTGAAATAATACAATCATCAATTGACATAACAGTAGGCAATATTGTAGCAAAAAATGATCGACGCATTATATTTCCTACGTTCACGGACAATGATCAGAAGACTGATGAAGTTCTAAATCACACATCCTAGTCATACTAAAACCTGCACAGCAAATTGTCTTATTCTGGCAAGAACATTCTATATAGAGCTTCATGCGATTCTACACATAAGGAGGAAAAGCGATTGAGATACAGAATGCATATAGATACTTTTGAGAAAGAGTCGATAATGACTTCAAATCAAGTCTCTATGTAGAACCGATGATTACTTGTTCATATACCAAACTTTTCTTTACAACTCACCTTTTGGTTCTGCTTTGAGGTATATTATTTCATCAATTCTCTGTTCATTGAGCTAGATTATGACAACTCTAGTTGATATTGGGTATGGAACTTCATTTTTGTTTACCAATTTACTTGTCTCGATGACTATATTCTTATTTAAATTCATAAACCTTAATGTAATAGAAAAAAATTCACATGAGCATTGTAACAATTTCATCGTAGAGTATAATATTAATGGCATCTAGCACACATCTGTATGCAACTTGTAGCACATGCCAAATGTGTAGAAGCATCAATCTTGTTGTAAGAAAGCCCAAGGTCTTGTGCAACTTGTAGCACATGCCAAATGTGTACAGTATAACGGATCAACTTTCCAATTAATTATGTGAGAGAGAAGTCACTTTTGATAATTATAAACTCTTGGCAGTACCTGAGTGGAGTCCAAAATAAAACTATCTGTATGCTAATTGGTTTCAAAGAATGCTATTTGGTATCATTCTTTGAAAGAAGCTGTAGTGTAAAAACATTTTACTCTAAGTAATTCAACTGGTTCTACTCCTTCTTCTAGAACTAGCACTAGTAAGATGAAATAGCTAACTTGGGAGAAGTCACCTTCAACTACTGTTAAAAACCAGATGTTACATTTGTCAAGAACAAAATCACCATTAAAGCTGTTGAGAATTGAAATACTAGTGTTATTTGATAACTCTATCTCATGCCAGGAAGGAGATGAACATCATTAAAAAATAATTGGTATTGAGACAGAAAACTCATTTTCAATATTGCACTTGCAGCTTTATTTCGTCTCAAACAGATAGCGATGGACTTATCTTATTTTACTTATGCATAAATGAAATATTAAAATTCTCAAGACAATTGTTCAGAAGAAATCAAATGGGCATAACGTGAGATCAAACTGCTGACATCTTATCCATTTGGGGTTGTAGTTTAAGTTGGCAGGATTTGCAAATATATTTTTACATACTGCAAAAATATATGCACAAGAGTGGTAGAATATTCTCATCATTCTAAACGGTACTGATTATCTCAATTCTCAAGTACATTTATAAACTATTCAGTGTGAATATGTTGGTTCTTGATAAAAGAAACTAAGGGTGAATCATAGACAGCAATCCCAGAGATCATCTTCCTCTATATCTATAAGTCAATATCAAAAACCTTCATGAAGGTGTCACGACCCAACTTAGGATCATGACTGGCACCTAGGAGCAAGT